ATTTCATTCTCTTACCAATTGTAGGCCTACTGTATACTGATTATATTATGTTTGACTGTTGTTGTTTTTTTGGTCTTTTTTTCAACATTTAGAATTTGAATTTAGAGAGAATATTTTTCAAGTACAAGTATCTAATACCCCAGACTTAGGAATTACAATAAAAAGACGTTCCAAATAATTTGAGCTTAGTACATCTGAATAGCTGTCCGACAACATGCAATATCATATATAGATCTATTTATTATACAAACATCCAGCACACCTCACTCTCCTTGTTCTTTGCCGAGGTTAACTTGTCATACGTGAGGACTGCCTACAGTGGCAATGAACAGAAATTTTAAAAAAAAAGATCAAACACATGACACGTAGGGACCCCCTACCCTCCCCATGATAAATACAGACACACTAGAAACATTTTGAATTTTTCTCGGCTGCAAAGTATGAGGCCATTTAATAGACCATAGATAGCAATTTGTAAAGCGCAAATTCCCTCTCGACAGCAAGCTTTGTACGCTTTACAATCTATATTATTATCCCACTAGATACTATTCTGAAACAATCTCAACCTTCTGGGCAGAAACCATACAGTGAAAACTGCCATCTATAGGCGCTAAAACACTAAAATACTGACAAGATCTTTCTCTGTCTACGGCCGGGTACCCATTCACACCTCGGTGAAGTGAGGGAAAATTGTATAAAGTGCCTTTCTCAAGGATGAGGGAAAATTTTATAAAGTGCCTTTCTCAAGGACACAACGTCGGGCCTGAGCCTTGAACCCCCGAACTCGCACCTTTACCATTACGAGTCCGTTGGCCTAACCACTTTACTGGGCCTATCGATGCCACTGCATTTTCGGTGAGACAAGGCTGACAGGCAAGAACTGCGCCAAGTGCATACTTGCAGCTTTGCGACGGGTAGAAAGTTTCCTAAGGTGGGCGGGGCCGTACGTTACCATAATTTATTTTTGCGAGGAATGTTCGCTGAACACTCGACCAGTTGGCGCCTGAGTGGAAGAAGGAGGAATAAAAATCAACGAAGAAAACGCCCACCTTACCTCCAAGCCATTACCACTTGAGACACAAGACAAAGTTAAAGAAAAACGTCTACAAACACATTCAAACTCCTACAGAGAAATGAAAAGTTTAATATATCTCAACCCCAGTAAAAAGTGAAAACGGGAATAAGAGGATGAGTGGTTGGGGGTGTATACTATTCTCTTTTTTAAAAGCTTGTACAAAGAGAGGTAAGATAGTTTAGCTTTTGCCATGTTTCTTGATACAATATCTTCCTAGTTCTGGGATATTGGCTCTGTACATTATCTTCCTAGTTCTGGGATATTGGCTCTGTACATATCTTGGAATGTGGAAATTCTTTTTTGAAAAGGGACTTGTGTTGAGGGGTAGACAGATATTTCAACCGGGGGGAAATCCTATTGAAAAACAACGGTTTCATTCGTTTAACAAGTGCATGTACATTATGCATCTTTCCTTGCTCTTTTCAACATTTAGAAGCTGAGTTTTGAGAACATCTTTCTGGAGCACATGCAACCAATACAATGGATGAAGAGACTGCAATTGAAGCATCATCATCATCATCATCATCAACATCATCATTATCATCATCATCATCATCGACGACGACTACAACAACAACAACAACAACAACAACAAAAACAATAACAACAACAACAGGAACAACAACAACAAACAACAACAACAATATTTTGGTGTTAGTAAATATGGACTCCTGGCCGATGATAATCGAGGTTTTGTTTATGACATATCATTGTAATTGTTCTTTTTATCTCCCGCAAACAAACACACAAACAAAAAATCAATCAAACAAACAAACAAACAGACAGACATAAAAACATACACGTATTTAATCGTTTCGAATAACATTGTTAAACTGCTTCCTCTCCACACATCTGATCTGGTATGGTTCCGGTGGCATTGTGATCCCGAACACGCCCTTGATCGGAGGCAAG